AAAGAAAACCATTCACAGTCGAGTTTACATCAAAATCCGCTGAGCAGTAGATAACGCAAAGGTCCGTTTCACAATATTTATTTCTTGCGAGCTCTGGCTTGATATCCACTCAAACCCTTTTCTTCCAAGAGCTGAAGCTACTTCCTGCGGCCGTCAGTGTTGCCAGGCAACTTTGTTCTCTAGGACTTTCTATCAGGAAGTGCTGCGAGTTCAAAGAATGGCTGTTTCTGTGAAAGACTCAGATGGAGGCTGCTGATAATAGAAGATGCGGTCGATATGCGCAGATGGAGAGATGAAGGGGGCCCGAGCAGCAGCACCATGTAGTCGCCATTATGGCCAGAAAAGAGCTGAGAAATAGCAGGTGTGTGGGGGAGGAGGAGATAAATGTGTAGAACCACGATAACCAGAATATTATTCCATGTGCACTGCAAATGGGAGACTTTGTGTCTGGTAGCCCCTTTCACACGTTTTTTTCACACTTAGCAGTACAGTAAAGGTGAAGAAGAAGGGTCACGAAGCCAACGAGATTCTTACAGGAGGAACAATGCGATTTAACAACGTCTGTCTGCAAGGGGTGAAGCCTTAAAACAAATGTCAAGAAACAGTGTTTTTCATGACCACAAAACAAGACGGTTTTGCAGACCATTTACATGCACTCAAACCTATATAACACACTTCAGGAAAGGGAAAAGCCTCCAAAAATCACAATATGGCCTCTGGAAACCGACAATCTTGTGTGGACTGCATGTGTGATGGGTTATGGGTAAAATTCGGTAAATGTGCTGAACCCATTCCCCTGAGAGTTGATATGAGAAAAAGGCCTGTGTAGGTGTCCTCATACAAAAGCAAAAGCCTCTAATGAGACAGGACACATTCAAATGTCTAAGTGCAGCACGTAAAAACTTTGTGTCCATATATCATCACAAAGATAGCAACTTTGGAAAACTGGCCACTTGAGGTGACATCATGTACCTGTTAATGTGAGTGTTTGTGCACCCAGAATAACTTCCACCATTTTCTATCCTATAAGGCCCAGAACACATTAAAAATGAATGTGGCCCTGCGCCGTCTCCCACAGATAAACAGACAGGCCTTTGACAAGCACACACACAGGCGGGAATAAAACCCGACTAAGCTCCAGAGTTCGGCATCAGCGCTGCTCACGGAGCAGGATTCAATACCTGCAGGGGGAGCAGGGTCTGGCTCTGAAGTGGAAGCCTTCACTGTGGGGCTGGCACAATGTGAGACGCAATCACAACACAGAGCAGTGACAGGAGAGAGGAGGGGGGGAGGGGAGTGTCTGGAGCAAGAAAAATGGAGGATGAGGCCGGGAGAAAGGAAATCCCCTGGTGAGGATAATCTGCAGAATTTAACCCGAGCCAGAATCAGTTTTTTACTGATCTCATGGAGCAATCTGATGTTTCACCTAGGGCTGAGCCATTGGGACAAAATATCTAATTTGTAATACAAATCGTTAAATTAACGATATTGGATGGAATAATGAATGTGCTTGATTATTCTCATTTTAATTAGAAATCTATAAAAATGATCATGGTAATCTCTTTGCTGGCACTACATTTTGGCAAATATCTAGGTTTCTTGATGATCAGGCTCTGCACTTTCCCTCCTCACCTCATACCTGAAAGACCGTACCTACAGGGTGACTTGGAGAGGGTCTGAGTCCGACCCTTGTCAATTAACTACAGGGGTCCCTCAGGGCTCTGTTCTTGGTCCCCTCCTCTTCTCCCTGTACACAAACTCGCTCGGATCAGTCATTAGCCCGCATGGTTTTTCTTACCACTGCTACGCTGACGACACCCAATTAATTCTGTCCTTTCCCCGCTCAGAGACCCAGGTCGTTGCACGCATCTCTGCTTGTCTAGCTGACATCTCTCAGTGGATGTCTGCTCATCACCTCAAGCTCAACCTTGACAAGACTGAGCTGCTCTTCCTTCCGGGAAAAGATTGTCCCACTCTTGACCTAACAATCAACATCGGCACCTCAGTTGTTTCCCCGACTCAGACTGCAAGGAATCTGGGTGTGACCCTAGACAACAACCTGTCCTTCACTGCAAACATCGCTGCTACAACCCGTTGCTGCAGATACACGCTTTACAACATCAGGAAGATACGTCCCCAGCTGACACAGAAAGCGACGCAGGTTCTGGTCCAGGCTCTCGTCATCTCACGCCTAGACTACTGCAACTCCCTCCTGGCTGGTCTACCTGCATGTGCCATCCGACCTCTGCAGCTCATCCAGAATGCAGCGGCTCGTCTGGTCTTCAACCTTCCTAAATGTTCCCACACCACTCCGCTCCTCTGCTCCCTTCACTGGCTTCCGATAACTGCTAGAATCCACTTCAAGACACTGGTACTTGCTTACCATGCTGCGAATGGATCTGGCCCTTCGTACATCCAGGACATGGTTAAACTGTACACCCCAGCGCGTGCACTACGCTCTGCATCAGCCAAACGACTCGCTGCACCCTCGCTGCGAGGGGGACCCAAGTTCCCATCAGCAAAAACACGTGGGTTTGCTGTCCTGGCTCCAGGATGGTGGAATGAGCTCCCCATTGACATCAGGACAGCAGATAGCTTGCACATCTTCCGGCGCAGACTGAAAACTCATCTCTTTCGACTCCACTTCGAGCGTTAGAACTATTAACGAAGCACTTTTATACTAATAAAGGACTGGCTTATCTAAAGCCAGTTGAGTAGCACTTGAAATGTTTGGCTCTATGAAACCTGATGTACTTATATGATTCTGTTTTCTTCAAGGTTGTGTCTTCCTGGTCGAATGTACTTATTGTAAGTCGCTTTGGATAAAAGCGTCAGCTAAATGCAATGTAATGTAATCTTTTCTAAAATAATTTCAGTTGCAGGCACACACCTTCTTAACATTTACATGTGAATATTTCTATATAAAAATGTATCCGTCAGAGATAACATCAAATAACTCCATTTCCTGCTTTTTTGTATTTTCATGCCTTTATTCTTTCCCTGTATCATGGCTGAGGAGCTTAAAACTAGTTCTCCGCAATGTAACATCCTCTTATCATCTTCCTTTTGTTTATGGTGTGATAAAATATTAATATTTGCAAACAAGAGGCTTCCTTTTGTCTCTCATCTTTTAGACTTCAGACAGCCTTGAAATGCAGGAACCTTTGAAAAACCGGGAGGTTAACACTGAAATCTGACTACAAAAAGACACCGTTATGATATATTTAATATAAAATTCAAGGTTTGGATACGGAAGAAAGTCAAAGTCCACAAAGGAATAGTAAGAGGCGAGTGTGAAGTACGAAGAGCAAAGTCATGGACAAGCATGTGTGGCCGCTGACACACACACGAGGAGACAAGCTTGGTGATGTTGTGTTTGATTACTGCAAAAAGGATTACTACTGAAGCAAGGTCACGGAGAGCAGCATAGAGTTCTATCTCTCCCTCTCGCAGAAGCATTTCTCCTCCAGTGTCATCAAGGTTATTCCTCCCACTCTTCCCACTTTACTTCTTCTTCAACTGGGCCATTACCTGAAAAGGTCATTACTTGAAATCTGCTCTGAAAGACGAGGCTCCACTTTCAAGTGTTGCTGTCATACTTGGGCAAACTTCTCAGCTACACTAAAGCAACGGTGAGCTTTCACTTTGCAGGCTAAGGTTTTACCGTAGCAAAAGTGCCTATTGGTGACAATAATCATAATTATTCTTGGCAAATGCACTCAATAAGTGTTATATTTACTGCATGCACTCTTCAAACCTACTTCCCCCCCCATATTTACATTGCATTTGATTTTTCACAGCACTAATGTCCCCCTCATTTGAATCATAGGTACATAGCACTTTAAAATCCCTGCAGAGAATCCAGTTGTTTCATAGACAGAAAAATGTAAAAGGTATTATGCAGTGGTGAACCGTCAGGGCCTTCAAGGTATTTAGAGAATACCCTGGAACACTCAGATAAAACAAACACAAAATCGATTTAATTATATAAATAACATGTAATAAAATGTATATAAAATGAATAAATGAGAATGGTATCTGTGTTGTTGATCTGTAATATTACAGTGTTACGTTGATTTGTTTGTCCTTCTCGGTCCATGCACTACGCATTTCAGTGGTGTTGTGTTAGAAAAGAAAGCAACCAATCAGATCTTGTTCTGGGTCTCTGGGTAGAATATCCTTCAACCAAGGTATTCTACATCCTTGATCGAATGCCCTGGCCGTTGCACTGAATGAGAGCGTACGTTTGGACTGACAGTTTGATCAACCAATCATATATTGATTAGTAGCCAATGGGCGTATTCTTTCAGAGTTTCTCTCGGTTCCAGGGTATTCTAGAAGGCCCGCTAGTTAACTAGAGAAAGACAGAGGATCTAGATGAATGCGACGAAGCAATTCATGCCGTTTTATTGTTTTTAACGTTGAAATGAAAAGTTAAACAGGTGAAGATGAAGTTGTTGCGGAATTGTTGTGAGTATCCTTTTCAAGACGACAATTCAGTGAACAGGCGGAGGGGGGGGGGCGGCGGCGGGGGGTGTGTGTGTCTACAGAAGGTCCAGTTGAGATAGACACGGTTCGCCACTGGTATTATGAACATGTGCTCAAATGTTCTAAATACAACCCAATGCTTGAGCAAGAAGAGCCATTTCTCCTCCTGTCCGCCAACTTTTTTAACAAGTGGTAAAACCATTTAACACCGCAAATCCAACATGCAGACACCTGCCACGACAACTGTGAAGAAATATGCTTGCTAGTGATAAGCTGCCTAACATCCTGCCACAGCCACATGAATATTTCACATTATCTTAATACAAACATATAAATTGCGTACCCTTAATGATTAAAAAGTGATTGAGTAGAGCTTCTGTCATAAAACTTTCAATTCATTTAGGAGACTTTTTCCCCCGTAATGAAGTGGTGTAGTTAACCCTGAGGGGGAAGCATATGAAATATTGAAATAAAAAAGGAAAAGAGAACAGGAAGTGGAGTGGCTGACGTACCATTTTGGCGAGGTTCACGGCGTCAGAGTGGAGACGGTTTCTCAGGTGAGGGTCCAGCTGGAACGCCGGTGCAATTTCCACAACCTTCAAAACAACACAACTTTATTGATAATGCAACATTGAAAACAACAACAATGTACACATTTCATCTCAAGGTTGGACACAAACAAATCCAACAGCTTAATTCATAATGTATTGTATTAGTGCTGCTTTTGACACATCACACCTCAATTATAGGACATAGTTATTCAACTGCACAGACAGCGTGTCACGATGCATTAGTTTAGCTCTGAAAAGCCATGCTATTATAACCTGTATTCATTTCATTTGATGGATGTTTCAATACTTTAGTTTTCCTTCCATTTGTATCTTTTCATTGTTTTATAAATTGTCTTAAATTATCATATATTTAGGGTTATTGCTCTTAACTTCAAGCTTGCCTAAGAAGTTGAATTCTGTTATGTTTAATGCATTTCAGGATTACATTTCAAACTTAAATAAATGAAACCGAAATTAAGAGTGAACCAAAACAATATTGTTGAAGGTCATGATACTAGGGCTGAAAGACTCTAAATTGCACTGTAGAGTTTCAGAGAACTGCAGAGTGTGTTATAAATCTCTATTGGTTCCTCACTATCATTAAACATAGTTACATCATCTATTTGTAATATAACAAAAAGGTATCAATCAAGGTTTAAAAGCATATAGCATAATGTGGAAATATTCAAATGTATCCCAGTTTATGATTCTTAAAGAAAAGAGCAAAAGTGCCACAGACTGCAGTTAGCTTCAAACTTATATTAAGTTAATCCCATAATGTGTTTTAGTTTTTCCTGCAGTAGCCATCAGTTTGATAAAGTATGTGCCAGGCTTCAGCGAAACAGATGGAGTGAATCATTTGAAGTCACATTTATCTTTCATTGGGTATGCAGGGTGGGTGGGGTTCGCCGTGTTCGACACTGATCTGTTTCAATCAACTGCATCAAAACAAGTCAACCGAAAGAAATAATTAAATGTATGATTTCCGAAAAATCAAAACGACTCAATTTATCAAATCAAATCTTATCCCACGAAAACAACTTCTAAGTCTGTGAGCATTTCCAAGATATAGAAGAAAAAAAGCTAAAAATATCCTATCAGCGCTCCACCATCCCTAATCTATTTCAACAAGCGACTATTCTTGTTTCTGAGATTGAAAAAGATCTTAGATTAAGGGCAGAGGCAGATTAAGCCTGGCGGAATCAAAGAGCAGCAGCTCTTGCATAAACACAGCCGCTAATATGATTATCCTCTGTAATTCGATTAAAGGGGAGAAGAAGAAAGTGATGAAAACACATGATTGAAAACGCTTTGAAGTGACAATATGTAATGAAATGTTACGCATGTTAATCAGCTTCCTTTGATGAAAGCATTGAGTGACTATTAGATGACAATTTCAAAATGTTCTCATTGTATTTAGACTTATTTGTTGTTTTTGACAAGCAGGTCATGCTCTGAAACTTAATTTCCTTCTTTTTTGGGCTAATTTATTTCCAGTGCCAGCTCAGAAAAATAGCCTTGGCTAATAAATGACAATCAATTGAAAGCTGTATACTTATAAAGTGTTTTGGTTGATTCAAGTTGGTGGAGTATTATGGAGCTTCTTCATTTGTTACCAAGTCTCCCATCTCACAGCATTAGCAGTGGTTATGTTGTCATTGTTTCATAATACTCTAACCCCTTGCTGCTAGGATACCCAGGGCCACTAATGCCATAATAATCATTGCTATAATCTGGAGCATAATTACCTTATTTATTATTGTGTAGCATAATTGGCTTGTTATCCTAAATAAGGAAATGCATATAAAACACTATTCATCAGAATCCTGCATATGACCTTTGTTTTAATGCCCCCCCATCCACTTCATGCTAGTCTCTGACAAACAACAGAAATGCCATGAAGATCATCTCAAAATAAAGTCAAACATTAAATCGGATTAAATAGGGGACTTCACCTTTTGGTGTCTCCGCTGAATGGAGCAGTCTCTCTCGTAGAGGTGGATGACATTTCCATATTTATCGCCTGGGGAAAGACAAAGAGAGGAGTGGGTGAGACAATGAAAGAGGAAGGAACAAAGAAAATGAGAAGATAATCGAGGGTATGAAGAAAAATAAGAGGTTGAATTCAAGTACAGGAGAGTATAAGAAACAGGAATTCACATTAAAGAAGGGGAGAAACTGGAAAAGTCCAAAGGGAAGGAGGGAAGGAGGGAAGGAAGGCAGAAAAGCAGATGCTGGCAAAGACAAGGCTTTAACAAGTAATTCAGAAAATTCACAAAATCCCTGACATGCCCTAAAGACAGTAATTAATCACAGTGAACACAGAGAAATACAGCTCGATGAACGCTGAAATATGAAGAAAGCCCAACCCAAACCACAGACAGACATGAGCCTGATAACATAACTCTTACAGTATGTATGCTGGAACATGCACTGTACAGTATGTCTGAAGTGAAGACAGAATTCCTGTAAGTGTCAGTGTTGAATTTCAGTTCTATACAACTGAGTGGTAGTTATGTTCACTGTAATAGGAGGAAACAAAGGATGGAGAATCCTCCACTGGCCAATAAAGCTCATTCAGTCTCATTGTTCATGTTCCTCCCTTAGCAATACCACACAGGATTTGTATCCAACTTGCCATTTTAATGAACCTAGATTGATTCACAGCTATGAAAGGACACATAGTCAAATGCAAACACAGAGGGGAGTGCACTTACCGAGGATCTGTACTTCAATATGTCTTGGCTTTTCCAGAAACTTCTCAACAAACAGGGCTCCGTTCCCAAAAGCCGTCAGGGCTTCAGAGTAGGCCCGCTGGTAATTCTCCTCAAGTTCCTGACACACAGACGAAAAAGAAATCCATTCAAGTCTGAGTTACTATCCGAGAAGGAAGAGTGGGTTTGTATGTTTTTCAAAGAGTTTTGTAGTTTAATCTCAGCAACACTTTCATTTTTCTGTTTTAATTTGGATTTTATATTCCCTTCCCTGTCATTCACACTTGATGTTGTGCAGATTTTTCCCATTCTTTTGACACAAATGTTTACACCTCCTTAGGGAGCACGGTTCTACACAACATCTCGGGGAGCGGGCTAAGGGAGGTCACGCCTGAGCACGCTGGAGGTCATGACACAATCTGTGTTTGTCAGTGTGTGACGTCCGGCCTGGCCCTTCAGACTGCTCTACCCGGCAAAGACTGAGTCACTATCATGCTGCAGGAGACCATACCATTCCTCATCCTCATCGCAAAGCAAAGAGAAAACAACATACTCACAGGACTGGTACAAATGGAAAAGGTGATTTAAATAGACCAGAAATTGTGCCTCTGAATAAGAAACCCAAATAAATGTCAATGTCCCATATGTGTTCCGATGACATTTCTATAAAGTCAGGAAGTGTGCATCAACAGGGCTCTAAGAGTTAAACCACTCTGTTTCTGATGGTGTGTCATGCATAAAAAGGCACTACTAAAAACTGTCAACATTGCAAACTTATTTTCCCGTTTTCTTTTTTCACAGCGCAAACCTAAGACATCAAACAAGACATCTGCAACTTTTTAGATTATCAATTGAGTACATTTTCTAAGCAAAAATGCCAAAACATTTGCTTGCACAACTTGTGAAAATAGATTTCCAGATTTCTTTGGTCCTATGCGAATTGTAAATCTTCTGGTTTGGGCTTCTAGAAAACAAATAAAGCCTTTTTGTCACCTTGGTCTCTATGGTGGGCATTTATTGACATATTCTAACATTTGATAGACATGATCTATCAACCAAGAGAGCAAATTGGCAGATTAATCAATAACATCTTCACAACCCTAATAAATCACCTGATAAATTCATTATTTTATATTCATTTGTCCGTTTATGTTCAGAAAAACATTTTCTACTACTTTCAGGGAAATAAACATGGGATAAAACTTGAGATGCATTACCAGTGTTAGTAGAGGGAATTAAAGTCACACCTCGCAGAGTTGTCAAATCATTGGAGCACCACTGTTTTGTCAATGACAGAAAATACTTTTAAAAGACTAAGGTGAGCAGGAATCAATTTGTACTCCTTTCACATCGCTTCAGTTCGTCTGTCAGCTTCAGCCACTGGAGCTTTGATACGTGCGCTCGCTTTCACGCTTACGCTTTGGGAAAGCACATCAAACTCGGAGCAAATCTCTGGCACTTTAATTCTGCTTATCAGTAAACATCTCTTCCTACAATATGTAGAGAGTACTTCAGTCTGTTAAACCGGAATACAAATGAACAACAAGATGGCCCTAATGGAATAAAGAGGCAACTGACGCATTGTTGCTGTGGTCCCACCAGCACACAGAAACCTTTTTACAGTTTCCTCACATAGTATCATCTGGAGGCCCCTGCGACTCAGCTGAATGACTGGAATGTCAACAACTAACTAATTAGACAGGGGTACATCTCAGAAAAGGTCATACTTTCCAAAAGGATTGCACACTGTTGAGACTCCATGGCTACAGTACATTATTTGTTTGTAGACTGACAACGTCTTTGGTAGCGTTGCAATGTTTGGAATTAAAATAACTAAATGCGCTAATTTCGTCTGATATTGCAATTGCCATATGGTTCACCATATTGGAGGGATCGGAGGCTATTTTTAGAAGATCTGTTCCAAACTAATTAGTTGTGTTAAATGTGTAGAATAGGATATCTAGGAAGGGATATCATTGAAATGTATTATTAAAAAAAATGTAGCCTTTAACAAATATTGTGCTTCCGCAAAGATATTTGCATTCATCCAAATTGTGCAACGGTTTTTTACATTTTAGAAACATTTAAAAACATTTCTAAGGACAAATAAAGGATAAGTTTAACAATTTTAAATGAATGTGGTATTTTTGGTAGGGTAAAAGTTAAAGTGATGATTTGCAGGACCTTATTCGTTGTGACTTAATATATTTTTTATACAGAAATATAGAACAGTGAATGCTAGCAGCCATGAAGCATGAGGAGGTGGCAGCTCTGATTCACCACTGATCTGTGCCCTCTTCTATCTGATTGGACAAAAAGCAGCTGCTTGTTGAAAACCTTCGACATGGTCAGACTTGAGAGGCCGACACAGGGGAGAACTGCACACACACAAGGGCCGTGACCAAATGCACCCCCCACAGGGCCTCCACTCACGGCGGTATGAGAAGTCCAGCCGCCGCCAGAGCTCTGCTGACATAAACAGGGCTGACAAGTAGCAACTTCCTGGTGTCTGTGGCCCTACGTGACTATTTCCCTTTTTATTTACAAATAATATCTCACTAAAGGACGCTAAAACATCTCTTAAAACATCACTTGCTGCTGGCTGGTCATGCTCTGAAAGCTTTATGCATTTCTGTTAAGTGGCTGGACCCTCTACCCAAAGTATAATTATATATAAACATTATAAAAATGCTGTACATCATGTACTGTATACTGTAACCTCTTAAACACTGTTCTTTGGACTTTGTATAGATTTTTAATTTTTTGCTGCATTATTAAGTTTGAGTAAAACAGTTTAAAAAAGGAGAACAAGTTGAAGCAGATGTGTATAATTTTCCTCAAGGAAAACTGTAATGTCTAAACTAGTTGATCCGCAACCACATTTATTTCGCATTTTTCTTAGTTCACCATCATATATTAAATATATATGCATTTGCACTGTGACCCTGTTTTCCCAATTGTTGTTTTTAGTGTTTGTTTTTTGCATTATCCTAGAAAAATGTAAGGCAAGTCTGCAATCTCGAGATGACATAAGACAAAGCCTTTACCAATTGGCACAGGTGTCATACAATTCTAATTTCTATAATGGACTTTTATTTGAAACCACCATTTTATAACCAGGACAAATGCCTTCATATACAAACTAGAACACGCATTATTATAGGAAGATATAGAAACTAAAATGCATGATTTAAAGCAAATTGATTATAGAGTAACCTGGCAACAAGCCTACATAACAGTGTCATCACTGTGACAGCATTATGACAGCTCATCACTGCTGTGAGGGCGGCAGAACGTAATATGGCTGAGATGAGGGACATGTTTCCTATCTCCTGATCATATTTATTTATGTTGGGCTATGTATTTTGTAAGTTAAGCCGTTCTATCATATACATATTGCACATGTTGATTGCTATTGTACATGTTAAGATGCAATAGATGGGATTATTTTATCTTTACATTGAGATTCATATTGGAAATGTGACCCCTCGATAGCTACAATATTAAAAAGTCATTATTTTTATAATGTCCTCTGCTTCAGTAGCTGACAGAAGCAATTTCAGAGAACACACAATCACACACAGGGTGATTGGCGGCCGGAGAGATAAATGACCAGGTTGTAATTTCCGTGACATTTCGCCTTGATTCAAAGCAAACAGAAAAATAATGAATATGAAAAACTTAATTTTGCAGGATATAAATTGGGTTAGAATTGTCTTTGCTGGACATGCGACAGGACAATGTTTATTTTGTAAGAGCTAGCTGCAAAATGACGATGACGGCTCACCTCGTACTCACGGACCACCCTCATGCCGCGGCCTCCTCCTCCGTACGCTGCTTTGAAGATGATGGGGAAGCCGTATGTTTCTGCAAACACCTGCGCGTCGTTCAGGCAGCTGATGGGTAACGCGGTCCCCGGGACCACAGGTACACCTAGGTCAGGTAAGAGGAAAAATAAGTGAGAAACATTACAATTTCAATGAATGTCCTAAGCACAATGGTGGAAGAAGAACTTTTAAATGTAGCAATAGCACATCTAAAAAATACTCCGTTACAAGTAAATCTCCTGCATTCAAAATCTTACTTAAGTAAAAGCACAAAAGTATTGGCATCAAAATGAACTTAAAGTACCAAAAGTAAAAGTGCTCGTTATGCATAATGTCCCATTTCAGAATCATATTGAGTTACTGGGTAACCATCAGGATTATCGATGTATGTCTATGTCAGCTGGTAAAGGTGGAGCTAATTTGAGTAACTTGATATACTGCTGCTGGATATCTTAACCTGTAAGTATGTCAAAGTTTATTTAATAATTATTTTATATTAGCTAATAATCTAAACCTAAAATGTAACTAGTAACTAAAAGCTGTCAGATAAATGTAGTGGACTAAAAGGTATATTACATTACATGTCATTTGTTAGACGCTTTTATCCAAAGCGACTTACATACATTCAGTACTGTGGACAATCCCCACAGGAGCAATTTGGGGTGAAGTGTCTTGCCCAGGGACACAACGACATGCTGACTGCAGTGGGACTCAAACTTGCTACCCCCTGATTTGAAGTCCAGCAAACTACCCACAGCCTCCCTATCTATCTATCTATCTATCTATCTATCTATCTATCTATATATACATATATATATATATATTAATGCTGTCAAAATTATCGCGTTAACGGCGGTAATTAATTTGTTTAATTAATTGCGTTAAAATATTTAACGCATTTAACGCATGTTAATGTTAATGTTAACGCATGTTAATGGCCCGCCCCATACATCCCACCAGTGGCAGCGCTGGGGTACCAAGAAATGGCTTAGCCCCACCATGAAAAATCATGGTAAATTGCACAGACAGCAGTTAGTAAGATTGATTTCAGTAGCCACTTGTCTGGAAATACCGAAGACTAGAAACGGTTTTGAAAACTTTTGTCACGTAGTGATCGTCTTCTCAATAGAACATCTTTGATAATGTCTTCTGGCCAATCAGAATCAAGATAACGGCGTGGTGTTGTTGCAGGAAGTCCCGACGGAGAATACTTTTGCTGTAGTACATCTCTATATACATCGATACAACATTACGTGTTGATGGAAATCAACACGTAATGAAATAAGACCCCACGGTTTGATGATTGATAGGTGTGTGGGCTGTCTTTCATTTGGACACACAGAACAATGTTACAATAAACATACATACATACATACTGTATGTTAAATGGAAAAATCCGCCTTCTTTCATTTATCATTCCATTCCCACAACAATATACATAAAGAAATGGCATATTTTGGACATAGTTCGAATGGTGATTAATCATGATTCATTCATTTTAAACTGTGATTAATCTGATTAAAAATGTTCATATTATTTGTTTCTAAAATGAAGTGGAGTAAAGGTGTAAAATAGCATAAACTGAGAATACTCAGGTCAAGTACAAGTACCTGTAAATTGTACTTAAGTACCATATTTGAGTAATGTACTTTCCACCAGTGCCTAAGCATTTATATTTTGAATTGTGTAGCATGCATTTCCCCAAACCTCCAAACAGCAGCTGTTGCATTGAATTACCAAAGTACCCTACAGTATATGCAATCAATTTAGTTTGATAATGTTTAGTGAAATGTTGCAAAGTGCATATTTGTTTTTGAATGATTTTAGTTGCGGTTTTCAGCAAAGATTGTAGACAAAGTGGTTTCATACTGCAATTAAGTCTCACAAGGTCAGTTTTTGTTTCAAAGCTTGATGACGCAAAATAGGAGGAGGATGCTTTAAACTCAACATAAACAGAGCTTGTTTTGTTTTTTTTCTTGCGGTGGTTGATGACGTTCAAGGCGGAATAATAGGTTGCTTAGAGTTCATCCCACACGGGTAGGGAAGTGAGTAGTTAAGACAAGAAGCACCACAGTTAATGGCAAATTTGGTCTAAATTTCAAATAAAATAAAACTTCAAGAATCAGAAATATAGCAATCATCTTGTCTATGGTCTTGGTTCTACAATTGTAATTTTGAGTAAAATGCTGTAGATATTATAAACAACAGGTGTTCCAATCATAGCTTGTCTTTCCTCTGAATCTCCTCCACTTTGTGCCCCTCCATACCTGCAGTGATGGCCAGGGCCCGAGCCTCCACCTTGTCTCCCATCTGGCGGACCACCTCTGGGCTCGGTCCGATGAACATCACTCCTGCGTCTATGCAGGCCTGAGCGAAGTCCGCCCGCTCCGACAGGAACCCGTAGCCGGGGTGGATGGCGTCCACATTGTTTTCCTAGGAAGTGAGGGAGAGAGACATGGAGAGAAGGTTATTCACTTGATTATTAGGTGGGAAGTAGCGTAGGCTGCACAATACGATTGCTACTGCAAAATGTTGCAATATGCCGAGTATTGCAATACAAATAACATATACAGCAATATATTTCCTTTTTTCAACAGCAAACTATGCAGTTGATCAACATATGTTGATAATAAGATAGCCACGTTGATTTTGTTTGCTCCGATGTCTCCACCATTGTTTTTGTTGAACTTCCTGCTAATCCCCAAACCTACCAATACAAAAGAGTACATTTGATAGCAATATTATTATTTATTAAAGAGCAACTGTTTGTGTCCAAGTATGGACCTTTGATGTCACCTACTATGCTGTATTGATGTGTTTCTTTTATCCATATTTATTATATGGATATGTAGCACGCTAAGCACCAGGCGTGTTAAATACAGAGTCTCTGCAGGGGCCCCAGTAAACACTTGGCTGACTGTTGGGGAGTCCTCATCACACACACACACACACACCAACCTGCACGCTTTACCCCACGCTGCCTGCTGGCCAGGGCAAAGGGATGTATGCTAACGTCAAAAGGGACTGTGAGATAATGACATACTCTATTATCATTCGATCTTAGCTGCTATCGCCTTCATCATCATCTACTCGATGGACACCGGAGGGGAACTGAACGAGTGCCGGCACACATCATATAAGGGTCAGGGGGAAGATACTGAGAGGAATACACACACACACACCGTGTAGGCAGATACAGTAGCTGCCGAACCTGACAGATAGAGCCATCTCTGGATCAGTGTGTGCCATCTGCTCTTGGATACGAGGCGGACTATAATTATGGGCTGTCCCGTTGTTAAGGGAGCTGTTGCTGGCAGGCCAGAGGAGGATAGGAGACACACACACATAAAATGCAGCAAGCAGGCTCACTCACACTCATGAATACAAAGTGACACGAATGAAGATGTACACACCGGGTGACACACACACACACACAGCGAGAAGCATCATCATACACTCGTGCTTTCACAGTTACAAGCAGAAAGACACATTCTCACATTCAATGTCACACACAGAAGGTTCTGGGACAGATACGCATGGTTATTTTTGGTCAGACAGTAGCAGAGCGATACGCAGTGTGATGAAGAAGAACAACGGATACTCTGAATGTGAAAGCGTGAGAATGAACACACACACTCCTTTGCTGGCATGGGGTGGCCGGGCTCCCAGATAGGCAGAAGGATTTTGAGAAATGAGTTGGACGGCGGAGGCTCCCGACTTGGCTGGGTGACCACATGCCCAAGCAGAAAATTATAAACCTCGAGAGATTGATCAGAGAAACGATAATGAACAACTGGCTGCACATCCTGCAGGAGGGAGGGGGGAGGGTGAGGAGGGGAGGGAGCTAACAAGAAACACAGCATCTCATCCAACGCAATTATAAAGAGGTAAAGCATGATAGGGGAAAGGAGAGAAATGGTAGAGGGAAGCAGCAGCAAGAGGAAAATAGGAGGTGAGGAACAATGGGAAGGAAGAGATACAGTGGACATAAAATATGTTGTTTTTTTTTCCTTCTTCCAACCAAGCCAAGTGTAAACGGAGAGCGATAAAAAGGGATTTGTCTGACACTTAAAGCCTAGTTTCATGACATTGCAATCCATTAAGTGTAGCTGTATCAAATGGAGCGACCCGACTACCCAAGGAAACTGCAAGAAACTAAGTTGAAAGAAAATACATCGACCACAACACATCAGGGGAGCACACTCACCTAACTTCTTCATCTAATGGACTCAACTCTTTAAAGTGAAAACTTTCAGACGAAAAAAAGGGGGATGAATTATTGAATCTACATCCGTACTATTTGTACCACTTCTCAGTGCAAGATGGAGCCAATAATGACGACACATTGCAAGCTACTGTGGAGAACAAATGCCGATTATATGTTGTTGTAAGAGCAGCCAAAGCCCAATACTTTTATTGTATGAAAATGCACTAGATGAGTACTTGAAACCCATTTATCTGTTCTCTCAGATGAGATTGAAAAGTGTTAAAAAAGCAAGATATTTTTAAAAATTCATTTTTTCCTCCAAAAGTGTTGGATCCTACTGGAATTTAAATATTGCATGCTCATATCTGAGTCCTCATCCTCGGTTTCTATCGTTGGCTGTACGATAATAATTTGCAATCTTCAAAGCCCAAGTTGAAGAAAAACCCTAATGACATCACTTGGGAGATTTTATTTTATATTTTAATACTTAAGAAGCTCCTCCTGGGCCGCAGTAGCCATGAAGCATTACATCTGCTCTCTGAGGATGAGCACTGTAATGCAAACCAAAATGAGGAAACTAACTATCACACTTTGACCCCTTTGTATTGGTTTACTGCTAAAGCAAACAACAGTAGACTTTTCTTTAGTGGGAAATCCATGTTTTTTTTATAACATCCGTTACCTTGGCCACTCTGATGATGTCAGGAATGTCCAGGTATGCTGCAACAGGTGCAAGGCCTTTTCCAATCAGATAAGCCTCGTCCGCCTTTTGCCTGTTAAGACAAGACAAAGGGATACATATCAGTGCAAGGCAGTGTCATGGAAGCAGATGCAAGCTCAGCAGAGAGCAGGCACCAGTATTTAGTCTGTTCAATAAATAAAGAAGTCCTCCAATCAGTCATTGGTTACAAGTCTGTGCAATATATTTGGTGAAATAGAACAAGCTGAGAAAGATAAGGATGGGTGTGCCTGTAAACTAAGCAGAGTGATTACCTGAATGTTCAAAATGTCGATACAATTATTCTTATGTCCAGACGTATAAAAAAAAACCTGGCCTAAACAGCTCGAGTGGAGGGAAAAAGCTCCCAAGCTTATTTGAATTGCTTTTGGATCTCATCAACTGTTCGCCTTTCATGCTCGATATACAGCAGTGGCAGCAGCAGTTTAAAAAACATCTGTCCGTTACGCTTTCTTTATTTAAAACCCCGAGGACCCATTTGGCTGAAATGTGGCAGAGCTCAGTACCTGTGCATTTGTCCGGTGTCCTGCTCCGAGTAGACGGCCACGGTTCGAATCCCGAGCTCAGTGCAGGCTCTGAACACACGGATTGCGATTTCCCCTAGAAGAAAAGACACATGTTGATAATGTATTTGAATAATTCACCGGTAATATTTTCTTATACGTTGCTCCTTCTCTGCTTCACATGTATTCTCTTTATTTATTGAAATGTTTTGACCCACAGTTTAGTAGATTGTGTGTATCGGGAGGTAGTTCTTCATCTGTCATAATCTATTTTTCATCAGAACACATGTTGTATGGTTCTATCAACATCCTGGGCCTTTTTTGCAAGAAATACCCCCACTGAGATAATAAAATAAACTTTGAATTTGTAATGCCACACTGGATGTGAAAACAAGACAAATCCATCTGGTATACTTCATCACGCTGTGAAAAATATCAACAGACACAGCAATAAGTCAATGTTTCTTGTTGTTGTGTGAGAGTGTAATATCTCAGATTTAGACAACCAAAACACTAGCTGGCTTTTATCTGCTGTCACTGGAGCCAAATACTTGGTTTTTTTTTTTTAAAGCACACAGTTTGACGGAGAAAAAAAGGTTTAGTCAGAGAAAACTAGTAAGATGTGTTGTTCTGGCTTGAAAGGGAGGACGGCGCTTAGACATCTAGAGAGTGCAAAAGAGAATTCTGAAGAAGGACAACAGTAGGAACACGAAAAGGATGAAAGTATGAGAAAGGACGGAGAGGAGAAGACAGAGAAAATGTGATGGATCAAAGGTGAGGAAACACAAAAAGAAAGTTGAGGGGGGGGAAAGAGAAAAAGGACAAATAATTGACCAAAAGAAACAGTTTGGCAGGTTTACCAACATGGAATGATAAGTGGAGAGGGCACAGTGAAGGAGAGAAAAAGGAGGAGACAAAGTACGCCATGCTAAAAGGAGAGGAGCAAAGTCATGAGGGGCGAGAAGGAAGACAGCAAGGGGTTCGGAGGAAAATCACATCCGACAAGTGTAAAAACAGTGGGGAGTGCAGAGGGAGGGAGGAGAGGAAGGAGGAAAGGAAAGAAGAGTATTACTGAAGCAATGGCAGAGAGGAGATGTGCTTGGTGAAGTGGACTCTTGGCTGATATGATGTGATGGTCCAGTGTCTCTTTTCATCTCACACACACACAAGCACACACACACATGCTCTGAAGCCGGTCCAGTGCACTGCAGTGTGATGAATGTGATCTAATGTGGTGTTGAGACGCCCATATGAAGGAGAGAGACTGACGGAAAGCCCTCTGTATGTGTGAGAAACCACAATCTATTTGAATCACACTGATGGATTTAAGCAGTTAAATAGCGCCTTTATGGGGGGGTGGACATGAATGTATGCATGTATGCGCAACACAGACTTTATGTGCAGCAGGAGGCCTACAAAAAAGACCACATGTGTGCACAATTGGAATCATATTGGGAATCCACGCAACATAAATCTGAAATAATGAAACACTGAAGCAAATCAAGCACTTTAAATGTGTCCTCGGGAAGGAATATAGAGAGGCTCTAAAAAAAAAAATTCTGTCACTCAAATCCTGACAGAGCTTCTTTAATTCTCTCTCTGGACAGCATTAGCATTATTACAAGAGGGTCCGGTGATTACAAGTCTTACTGGAGCACGTCAGTCATGTTAATGCTGCATCCGACCGGCAGACTGGTGACTGCCTAGTGTTTAGAAAACTCAGCGCCTCTCTGTAATTATTTGTCCATTCAGACCTCAATGCCAGTAAACGGCAATTATGGGGATTTCTGGCAGCCTGACAAACAAATATGTGGGAAAAAGACTGTTTGTCGTATAGCTGTTTTCAATATGTCCTGGTAAATAACTTAGAAGTAACAAAAAAATATCTTTAAGTAGCATTTTCCTTTTACTTTTTTTTGTCCATTACAAAAATTGATGTTTAAAAAAAATAGAGGATTAAAAATAAAAAAGACATATAATGCATACATCTTTAAGACTTGCAGATTCCATTATGCTAAAAAACACTGTATTGCTTTTCTATATAAGCCAACAACGTGCACCCATACAATGCGTGCTAAAATGCTAGCATGAGCTAAATCAAAGTAAATGTTGGCCATTCAAAATTAAGAGTCTGTTCTTTTGCCTCGGGAAGATAGTAAATGTCATTTCTTACATTATAAATGAAACGGCATTAAATGTAATAGTGCCATCGAGTTGCTCGTATTTCTGGGGTAAGTTATTGCCATTGGACGGATCTTACCTCTGTTGGCCACCATCACTTTTTTGATTGGTCGGATGTTGCTCTGCGGGGTAGAGTGGGAGAAGCGCGGGGACACACAGGTCCTCCTCACAGCCAGCATCCCGAGGCCACCTCGTACTACAGTGAACCGCAACATC